AAAAAAAAAAAAAACTCTTACATTCCAACGAAAATTCTCCGTTGGAATAGCTATTCCAATGGATATTCCTACGTATAAAAATTCGTGGGAAAAACGGCCATTGAAATAGCTAAAATCCAACGGAAAATCCTATGGAAATAAATTCCTACAACTATTCCAACGGATTTTCCTCAACCATCCAACACTTATTCTAACATAAAATTAAGTTTGTTGGAATATTCATTGGAATTTGCAACAGAAATTTTTGCAGTTGGAATTTTTCGTTGGAATTGAAATGTTTTCTTGTAGTGTATGCATTGTTCATTATTTTCTTATGGTATTAGTATCATGAAATAATAAATAGCCAAAATAATAGCCCCGATTTGTTTCCTGTTTCTTCCATCCGTTTGTTATCTTTTCTTTTTCTTTTATGTACTCCTCACATCCTATTTTTTGTCACTTCATGCAAACTAACCACGCCAATTATTTATTCCAACCTTCACAAAATTCAATGATACTAACTAAAGAAATTTTGTTTCAAAACTTGAGATTCAACAAAATAAGGGTGTATTTAATTGGGATTTATAAAGACTTTTAAAAACTTTTTAGGACTTTAGAAATCCTGGTGTATTTAATTTAGATTTCTCAAGACTTTTAAAAGTCTTGAGGTATTCAATTAGGATTTTAAAAAGTCTTACGAAATCCAGGTGTATTTAACTAATTTAAGGTTAGGATTTATAAGGACTTTTTAAGATTTGCTGGGATTTCTAAAGAAAAAAACATGTAGGAAATCCCACTACAAATCTCACCTTTAGACTTGGTATTTTATAGGATTCTTTTAAAATCTGAAAATCCTCAAAAATCTTAAATCTTAAAAAGTCTTTAAATGTCACTCGAATTCCGAAACGAATACACCAAATAAATAAATGAAAATAAAATATTTAATTCTACCATCATTATAAAAACTAAAAATTTATAGAAATTTGTAGATTGAAACCTTCTTGTAAATCAAATTAATGGCGCCAAAAAGTTAAGGGCCCAAAAATCATTGCCTGCGGGTATCGAGTTTCATAATTCAATTGCCTTGTGCAATGTGTTTGAGCAAAAGAAAAATCTAAAGGAAAAATTGTTTCAATACATGAGATCAAAAAAAAAAAAAAAAAAAACATTTAGTTCTACCATCATTCAGAAAAACTAAAAAGTAAAAGAATTTTGTAGTTTGAAACCTTGTAAAATTAATGGCGCCAAAGAGTTTTGGAGTCCTAACCGCCGATTACCTTGTGAAATGTGATTGAGCAAAGAAAAATAGTCCGAGAAGAAAAGATGAGAGTGTCGAGAGAGAAAATTTCAAGTGTTAAAAAGCACTCGAATCCCCCATGGTCGTGATATCATGCATAAGGTGTTTGCTTGTCTATGTTTTATATTGTTGAGAGAATCTAAAATGAAAATGTAACAAAAATCACTTCCAACTCATCAGATTATATAGTTATAGAATTAAAACATTTACCACCATTTAATATCCTGAAGGTGGGGAAATGAGAAAATAGTTAGTGCTAGCAATTGAGAAAATAGTTAGTGCTACCAAGCAAAAATGGCCATGATTGCTAAACACAACATCACATTTACATAAATAATGACACGATGCTTGTAAAATATTAATCAAGTGAATCAATAATCAGTTACAGACAGGTGGTTTTAACCTTGAGAGTCCCTTTGCAATGAGAGCATTTGAACTAAGACTTGTAATAACTAATCCCATCAGCAGACAACAGCTCAATCGGATAAACGGTTTACTCGCAAGCCTTGCATTTGTGTTGTGTCCCAATAAAAGACATTTACTTTCTATCCCTTCTCAAGACAAACCAAAAACCAAACAGATTTGTTCTTCCTATATAAACCTTGCTCCTATATATCTAACCCTTGAAGACCAAAAATCAGTACTTCATTACATTCGCTAGCCCGGTAAATACTGTCCATCTCAGATTTGTAATTTGTTGGAGTCATCAGCTGGGTACGGACTTGGGATATCGTCTGCCATTATTACTTTAGCTGCATTTGCGTTGGTATTCGATTTTTGGGATTCAGTTCAGCCTTCTTAGCTGCATCATTTGTTGCTTTTCGACTCACTCTTTTTCTTGAACATCCGGCAAAGAACCAATTGTCCAACTACCACAATTTATGGACGTAATTATAATCAACGCTAAATGAATCAAACAAAACGTAAAGCGTGAAAAAAATAAAAAAAATTATCACTTACCCTCATGTTGTTTTCTGCTTGTCGATCAGGTGTCGGAGTAGTTTGACCTAGAATTTAGTCATTAACCAATGGGTTTTGCTATGTTTCCCGGATTTGCCCCTGTAATAAGCCAGCGTCCTCTTGCAACCGATCTCCTCATCTTTGTGTATGATGGGCTTGTCTAATCCCGAACTCCTCAAGAATCCATCCCCGGCGGCCCGGTCAGGCCACGACCTGTTTTTGTACTTCCTTCGTCTCGAGCTAAAAAAGTACCATTCTCCGTCACTACTTGCTTCATATTTCTCTATAATTAAAGCATACAAAATCCTAATTCCCTCTCACTTAGCCTCGTCGTCGTTCAGCACGTCGAAATCCTCGGCGTCCTCCTGGTCGTCCCCGTCGGCGTTGATCGCCTCCGTTGCCAGCCATCACCGCAGCATACAG